ATATATATATATATATGTATATGTGTATATATATTTACTGTTATGGTAATGCAGATCAGCAAAGACCATGACCACTTTTTAGAGAGGATAAGGAGTTTATTACCAATGACCCAAACCAAACTAGTGCCAGAAAGAAGTTCTGATCCCAAGGGAGGGGAAACCTTGGTGTTTATATAAGCCAGTCACACACCAAATAGGCATTAATCAGATATACAAAAATCGGGGGACTGACATCAACTTTGGACCAGGTGGGTAATGCCTTCTAGAAGCTATGTAAAGTCATGATATCTGTTACTACCCCTTCTGTGTTGTCATTTTAAAATGCCTGTGGGTTTCCCGCAGTCCATTCAGATAGCCCCATATAGTCTGCCTCCAGCCCACATTCCAGCAACAGCCCCACTGGGACACTTTCCCAAAACTGGGTGCTGGAAGGTCCCTCGGCTGGGTAACTTTGTCTACTTCATTGCTGTACACGTGTGAATGAACCCACAGACAACACAATACCATTTATAGTTTTGTTTTAGCTTGCATTGACTGTTGTAGAGATACATCATCTCTACCAAGAGTGGAGAGTCTAAGGTCTCGGAGTCAGCTTGCCCATTAAGTCCTTTCTCTGTATCCCCATCTGTTTACCAAAAGTCTGTTAAGCTTCTATTTTCCTCATACTGTATTTTCCTGGTGTGATGTACAAATCCCTGCCCCAGCTGCAACAGGTCTTTTTACACTCATCAGAATGTAACTCTTCCCCCATTTCCCATAGCCCAGGTAACACCTTCTTCTCAGAGCTGTCTCTCCCCTCCAAATTCCCCTGATCCACATAATGTGACCCATGTGATTGCCCATGTGGCCCATGTAACTGAGCCCTAACATTTTGTTTAAATTCCACCCACACCTGTCCATTTCTGCTGCCTCCATTCCTGCTTGGAGCAGCCTAGCAGGTCTGTCCCCCAATAAAGCCATGAGCCCTGATCCTTCACTCACCTCTCATTTCTTACATCCTGGTGCGGAAACCCAGGAGGAGTGGTCTGGGTTTGGATGATCCCTCCTCCTGAACCTCCTTGGAGTGAGTGACCTTTACTCTTCTCTGCCAGCCATTTCAGACTTCTGCATGCCTCACCGTGAGATGCTCTTTAGGATACTTCTACCCTTACCCCTGAAGATCAGGAGTTGTGGAGGCACAGCACACAGGAAACACATGCCCCAAATAATCAAAACCCTGTTGGTCAGGAAGCTGTCCCTTGCTCTGACCCAGGGTGGGATTACCAGCCTGATCACCCACCCCCAAAGAGACTCTTAGGGATGACATGGTCCTCTACCTCCTCCACAACCTTGACAAGACTGCCCGCAGGTGTGTCAGCAGTGACAAATTGAGAGAGGTAATTCAGTGTCACCATGAAACTCCCAGTGAATTTTACGCCATCTGGCAGACACCCTCCACCACTTCACCAACATTGACCCAGCCAGTCCAGTAGGCAACGCTCTCCTCCATTCTCATTTTATTTCTCAGTCCTCCCCGGATATCCGGAAATAATTCAAAAAGCTCCAGGATGGCCCCAACCCCCCTTCAATGGGAACTCCTCAATATTGCCTTCTATGTGTTTGATAACCGGGAGGAACAGGAAAAATGAAATCGGTGTCAACAAGACCAAGCCAAATATCAGTTTTTGGTTAATGCCTTGCAGGGTTTTGGAAGGGTGCCAAGCCAGGCCCTTGGGGCCCTGCTTTAAATGTTCTCATCCTGGACATTGGATTAGAACCTGTCCCAACCCTAGACCACCTCCTTGGGCCATGCCCTCATTGTTGTTGGGAAGTTGACTGCCCCACTGGTCAAAGGATTGGTGGGTCACCACTCCCTTCTAGGGAGTGCAGCTCTGTTCCCCAGAGAGGGATGGGAACCCCTTCCCAGCCTGAATACATGGCCTCATGCCCTCATCTGCCCGGGTTTCTAGGCCTAGCCCACGAAGACTGATGCTTCCCAGGGTCCTCAGCCCCAACGGACATCACTCATTCAGAACCCAGGGTAACGATTTTGGTCTCAGGTAAGCTGACTTCCTTTGTAATAGATACTAGGGCCACCTATTCGACCTTACCTGAGTATCAGGGTAACAACTGCACCCGCTTCTGTAACAGCAGTGGGCACTGATGGCATCATCTAGCATCCTAGGAGGACACTCCCTTTACTTTGTACTTTCCAAGGTTCCCAGTTCTCCCATTCCTTTTTAGTTATACCACACTGCCCCATGCCCCTGGGGGGCCATGATATTCTGTCCAAATTCAAGGCTACACTTACATTCTTCCCCCCATGACCCTCTTCCTTGCCCATGCCATCCCCGGCTCACTCCCAGACATAAAGCCCCCTTTCCCCCCCCTCAGAAGTAAACTCTGCAGTGTGGGATGTCTTCTGGCAAGATTGAAAAGGTCATTCATGTTATTAAAAGTTATCTTATTAAGCTCTCCTCTGAATTCCATCTACCCTGGACTCAGCTCTTACCTCACTTGTGTTAGTGTCAGCCCTCTGGCCTCAGCCCTTTTGAGCTAACGTATGCCCGCTCTTCTGTACTCTCTACCTCTGCCCTGCCTTCAGACCCTAAGCCTCTAACTTCATACCTCCTCCCTACCTTCCTGTTCTTTAGACAACTCTTCCAGGGACAGGCAGATTCCTTCTTACCCCAACCTGTACCTCCCACTCCAACTGACCTTAAGATTCATCCAGGTGAAAGAGTCCTCCTCAAAACTCGCTCTCCTAAGCCCCTATACCCCATGTAGTGGTTCTAACCACTCCCACCGCTGTAAAATCCCTGGTATCACCTCTCTCTAATTAAGCCCTTCCATGAACCACCACTCCCTTCTCAGACCCCTACACCTCTCTCACCCTTCTCCTACTCTTCCACCACATTGTCCCTGACCAAGCTTAGAATTTCATGCTCCTCTTCCATATGACTTTCTATTTCAGGTCACCTAGTGATTCCAACCTTGTCTCTTCTTCTCCCACAGGCCGGTTGCCAGCAACCACCGTGGATACACACTAGCCCACCAGCCATGCCAATTACCACCCTCTTACTCAGACTTGTTCTCTTCTCTTCTCCCTTTCTTCCCCTCTCAAGGGAACAACGGACAATCTCCCTCCTCTGGTCTCTAGGCCTGGAAAGATCCCTCAACCTCACGTTCTCTTCTTTCAAATCGCAGAATTCCTCCTATGCGGATGGGTGCTGGCTTTGTTTGTCCCACTCCTCTTCTGCCCTCCCTGTTCCCCTCAATATCTCTCTTACCCAGCATATTCGCCTAGCCTATTCTGAGGTAAAAGGCTCCCCTTTCTTCGTTCAATCTAATACCCATCTCCAATCCTACCCCTCTTCCAGGGAAGTGCAGGTTACCTCGCTTTATTCCACCTATCTTAACTCCCTCCATTACTTCAAACTTAATTCTACCCCCATCTTTGGACCCATTATCTGTAATACTTCTTTACTTGCCCCAGCAGCCCTCTGCTTCTCCTCCCCTCCTACCCCTTTTTCTACCCTGGTAGGAATCTTGCCTCCATACCTCTGCAACCACACTATTTCTGTTGAACACCCCTCAGATCATCAAAACACCCGAGTAGATTATGCTGTGTCCCCTGAGGCCAATGGCAAGTTTTTACAACCTGTCCGCTTCACGGGACCCCCCAAAATTAATGCACCTGGCCTAAGGTGCTCATGGCCATTGGACAGATCTTACCGTCTATTCCCTTGGTTAACTAACTCGGTACTCCGCTATCAGTGTCTCCAGTCTGCCTTCCACTCCAATTCACTTACCCTTCTCCCAGGCATTGCTCTGGCCTCCTCACTCTCTGTGTGGAGTGCTGAACCTGCAGGACAAGGTGTCTATCCTTTACTCCATTTGTTCTCTTTTCACATGTCCTCGTGCTTGCCTGGAGATGGCTCATTTTTCCTTTGCGGCTCAACCTCCTATCTATGCTTGCCTACCAACTGGACAGGTACCTGCACCCTGGTTTATCTTTTACCTCCAGTCTTTTAGGCCTCCCGCAGATGCTTCATTTCCTGTCCCATCCACAGGCTCTCTCAATCCAACTCCTCCAGTGTCGCCGACAAGCTGTCCAGCTGGTATCTCTCTCTTCAGGTAGCACTGGGGATAACAGCAGGCATCAGATTGGGCACAGGGGGTTTGGCTACATCTCTTAGCTGTTACAAGACCCTCTCCATTGAGCTTCAAGACTCTCTCTGGGAAATTGCCCAACAATTTACTAAGGTACAAGACCAATTGGAATCTGTAGCAGGTATGGTTCTCTAGAACAGACGAAGGCTAGACCTTCACCTTGCAAAAAAGGCAGTCTTTGGCCAGGGGAGCAATGCTGCTTCTATCATAACAAATCTGGTCTGGCGAGGGAAGGAGCCAAGACTACTACTAGACAGGGTCCAAAAATTGATAATCAACTACAATCACAGTCTTTGTCTAGCTTCATATGGAGGACTTTCCTCCCAAGGATGCTACCATTCACGCGACCCCTACTACCCCTCATCCTGGCTCTTATTGGACCCTGTTCAAGTGTGCTAGCAGTTTCTTACAGGAACGCGTGGAAGCCTTCACCAACCAGAAGGTCACCGAACTCTATATGGCAACATACCAGGTGCTAAAAAAGGACAGCCCTCAGGATACCTACACACCCTTCCATGTTTAAACCCGACGCCCCCAACCAGCAGGAAGCAGCTAGAGAATGTCTCGCCGTCCCTCTACCCGCTGCCTTTCACTTTTAAACTTATACTTAAAAAAAATTCAGGAATCTAAAGTCTTGGAGTCAGTTTGCTGATTAAGTCCCCCACCCTGTGCCCCAACCTGTTTACAAAAGTCTGTTAAGTTTCTATTTTCTCTGATGCTGTCTTGTGACGGACAAATTCCTGCCCCAGTTGCAAGTCCTGTTACATTCCTTCTCAGAATGTGACTCTTCCCCCAATTCCTGTAGTCCCTGTAACACCTTCTGGGAATTGACTCTGCCTCCCAAATTCTTACGATCCATGTAATGTGACCCATGTGACTGCCAATGCCACTGACCCCTAAAATTTTGCTTAATTTCTGCCCACACCTGTCTACTGCTGCTGCTTCCATTCCTGCTTGTAGCAGCCTGGCAGGTCTGTCCCCCAATAAAGCCTTGAGCCTGGATCGATTGCTCGCCTCTCATTTCTTACAGACAGAATCTAGTTTGTATATTCTTATATAGAAGGACATTACTTTTAGGATGTTGAGCATCGTTACCTTCTTGATCAAAAAAGATACTAAAAAAATTATATTCTCAGCTAAGGAATTGTGTGCTTTTCGTGAACAGCTATGGCTCCCTGCAAGCCTCCTCAACCCCTGGCTTTCAACACAGCCCGCAAACTCAGTTTGCTCTTTATCTTGTGATTAGGGAAACCCATACTTGGCCACCTCCATTCGGTGCTGTGTTCTTTACCAGCAATACAGTCTTTTTTCTCACAGTGAGAGAAACAAGTCTAACTTGGTTTTGGATTTAGTATGGCAAGCATAGCTTTAGTTCAAGATGAGGAAGTGAACCCCCACCAGCCTTGTTTTTGACTTAAGCCCATTTTAGTGCTTTTGACCGAGAGAGCCTGGGATTAGCAGCTGCTGAGTCTGGGTGTAAGATCTTAGGGAAGCTTTTGCATAGGCACCTGCTGCTTTCAGGAGCTGAGGGAATGCCACACAAAAAAAGCCTTTTTTTCTTTTTTTCTGTTGGAGTTCTATGTATAAAGCTTAAATGACAAGAGAAGAAAACTGCAAGTGGAAGAGGAGGAAGGACTAGAGGACTAAAGGAAGGGAATACAGTTGACAAAAGGCAAAAGATGCATGCCAGCATGAGCCTAAAAATCTCCCCAAAGAAAACTTTAGGCAACCTCCAAATTTTCCAGGTGTCATCATTTGAAACATTACACCTCTGCTTCTTTGGCTGTGCGAGTTGTCAATGCTTCCAGAAGTAGGAACCATTCTGGGCCCCTGCCTTGGAATGGTTATCACCCCTGTACCAGTCCTCTCCATGTGGGAGACACAGCCTAGAAAGTGTACATTATATGAACTATGCTCTTCTTCTGTGTGCTTACCATGATGCAGGACAGGCCAGGCAAGGATGCGCTGTGTGATGAAGTCAGTGCACTTTGATGGGTGTTTGGACATGTCAGAGATGTGGCATCAGTTTGGGTCTCTGTTTAAAAAAATTTTTTGCAGTAGTGTTTCATAACATCTGCTAGGCTGATTGCTACGTTTATTTATAGGGTGTGGTCTGAATCACTCCACCCTTGCTACTACTATAGCAGCTGCCACATGATTACAGCTAAGTGCAGAGAAAATCTCTATTCTGCCCGGTGTTCATCCTCCTCTGCCTCCCATGGGTACAGTGTAACAGGAAACTAGTCAGTGTGCAGACTTTCCAGCCTCAGGAGCTGAGACAGCAGATACATAATCATCCTGGTCACCTGACTTGGGGGAGCTAGTCCCTTGGCTGGTAGACCTGTGCACTGACCTGTTCACTCTAGACAAGTTGGTGCATTTCTCTCCAAAATCTGACTTAGAGGATTATCAGACAGTCAGCTTTGAAAAACAATTATGAGGTGTTATATGGGAATACTCACGAGATCCAGAGAAGCTACATTTTGAGAGGTCAAATCTAGAGTCTTTATCAGAAAGCCAGTGACTGTGAGTGGTTATGTGTCCCCCCTCCAAAACTTACAACCTTGAATGCACAATACTGTTAGGAAACTGAGCCAGGAGGGTAGCAGAGTAAAGAGATAGTGGAAAAACAATCTCAACAAATCAGATCACCCTAATGGAGAGCTGAGGAGGGATGTCATGGTGACTGGAGGAGAGTCAGAAGGCAGGAGGCACCATGCAAAATGGTGGCTGAGCTAGTCAGGGCTTAAATAGGGTCACAGGGGGCAGGGGCGGGGGAGCAGGGATAAAGGGAGCTCGTGGGTCTAGCAGATCCGGTAATCTATTGTCCAAGTCTCCACCCCTGCCTCCAGGAATTTAGGCCTACCCATCACCAGAGGGTGGGACTACACCTTCATCCACCAAGAAGCCAAGATGGCACCAGTTAGACCCAGAATCTTTATTTCAGGGGCCATAAGGTAATCCCAAATTATAGGAGAGGAAGAAGTCATGATCTTTTAGTAGCCTCAATAGGCAGAGAGATAACTCATCAGGGTTATAAACTCAAAGAATCTGTTCACAATAATCAAGTTATTTTAATGGCAGACACAAATGGGAAGATCTCCAGAGTCTTGCTTCTGAAGGTCTGTGATCAAGCAGTCTTACACATTAGGTTAGAGTGGGAAGCTTCTGGATTGCCCATATGCAATGATTTGATTTATGACTCAGTGTATGGCATGAACATCGTGATTATATCTGAGATATGGATACTGGTTCTAACTGGAGCTATCTTGGCATCTTGGTGAATAATAGGGACTTTCCAAAAACTCTCAGAGGTGAAATCCCACCCCTTCCCCCAGGTGGTAGGCACGCCTAAATTCCTAGAGGCCAGGGCAGAGACTCAGGCAATAGGTTTCTGGACCTACCAGACCTGTACCACAAATTCCTGAGACTCTTTGAACTCTGCAGCTCCCTGTCACCCTGTGACCCCTGACCATGACCCTATTCGGGCCCTTCCACCTCAGCCACCATTTATGCCATGCCTCATGTCTCCTGACTCCCCTCAGGTCACCATAGCATACCTTTTCAACTCTCCAGTAGCGTTGATCTGGTTTGTTGAGATTTTTTTTTCTGCTCTTTCTTTACACTCTTACTCTCAGAGCTCAGCTTTCTAATCAAATTAGGTGCATTCAAGGCTGCAAGTTTTTGGGGGAACATGTGTCCACTCACAGTCACTGGCTTTCTAATAAAGACTCCAGATTCAACCTCTCAAAATGTGGCTTCTCTGTAGCTCGTGATCTAATTCCCATATAACACATCAACCCATCACAACTCCTCAAGTTCCGTGGGGGTCAAATGGGCTCAAGTGGGTTCTGTACATATGGGACTCTGTTTCATAGCTGAGCAACACTGCATTTAGGAAAATCCTAGTTTCATACGGGGACCTGCCCATCCTCCCCTCCAGAGTCAGTGACATTATCTCTATTACCTTGGAATGTAAACATACCTCTGCCTTTACCCTGCTGATCGGGGAATAAATGAGCCCTCTGATCTGCAGAAATACTACCTCTAGATTCCAAGGCTGTTTGTTCTGCAAATATCCCAGGAAAGATAATCTGGCAAAATACTTGTGAAATGTGGAGAACGACCTTCCAGCACCCAGAACTCTTTAAGCTGCCTTGAGTCTCCATCCATTTGACACAACCCCATGTCCTAAATGTGCAGTTGAGTTAATGTGAAAGTTACGCCTCCTCTCACTCACACTACCCTTGGCGCCTTATTGCTCCTTATTTCTAGAAGACCAGAAGTAATATAGAGCTGAAATATTAGGTGGCAGTCAGCATGTTGAATGTGAGCTAAAAGTTTTAATCGAATATGCAACTCCAAAACTTGGGTGGCATTCGACTAGCTTCAATTGTGCCTGCTTCAGTTCTGCTTCTGTTCATGTGTCATTTCTATTGGTTGCATGTCCTATAAGAAACCAGTGTTTTTCTATGATTGTGGTTTCATTAAAGATCTCATGAGGGATGAAGAGGAAGGACCTCTTCAGCTGAGACCAGCCCTCTTCCTTTTCCCCCTGAACTACTTCAAAGTCTACCAGCAGCCTCTGGACCTTCTAACAGTACAAGGCACCAGATCTTGGAGACCTTCTGAAGCCCTACATCCTCTTCTGTCCCCACATATGCTAAACGTGTCAATGTGTACCCACACACCACAATAAATGTAATTTTTGCTGTGAACAGTATTAAATAACTTGGTTTTTGAAATCATGTAAGTAACACATTCAATTTTGATTGGCTTAGATTTGTTAGGAGTTGTAACTCTAGAGTTCATAAAAGGAAGAACATTAAACCTACTAAAGTTTGTACATATAATAAAATATTTTTGAATGATAAACAACAATTAAGGAAGTATTGGGTATTTGTAGCCATTTGCTTAGATATTTGTACTTTTTGTTTTCCTCATTATACAGATAACTATCTGTTTTAAGCCATCAAATCTTTATGTATATCCCAAGGAATGTGAAAACTCGAGACACTATAGCTATGTCATCTAATGTTTAGGGCAGGACAGCAGGAAGCCTGACCTAAAAGACCTTACTGAAAGAGATAAGTCCTTACTCAGACTGTAGCTCTTGCCAGGAGCAGCCCCTTAAGACCAACCATTTATTCCTCTTTTTTCCCCCAGAATTATCAGAGTAGGACTTTCTTTGTCTCATTATGCTTGTTTCAGACTTAAAACTAGCTATGTAGTACATTCCCATATAGGGGTATTTCCTCAGGAACCTCAACTCTAGAGAATGTCTCACTTGGGGGCTGGGAAGGTGGCTCAGTGGTAGAGTGCTTGCCTTGCATGCCTGAGGCCCTGGGTTCAATTCCTCAGCACCACATAAGCAAAAAGAAGAAAGCCGGAAGTGGTGCTGTGGCTCAAGTGGTAGAGCGCTAGCCTTGAGCTGAAGAGCTGAGGGACAGCGCCCAGGCCCAGAGTTCAGGCCCCAC